TTTGTGCAAAGTTTGGCATTGATTGGATGAAAATTAAAAGCTGAGCAGCCTAAAATGTAAAAAGTGTGACAACCAACCCCGCTCTCCCCTACAATATCGTTACGAAAATTACTATGAAAACGTCACTTTACGTAATTTTGTATGGTTCTGTATGCTTTTCTGTACGATTTTTTTTTGTACAAAAATCCTTTTTGTTTTGAAGTAAAAAAAATCGTTCTTTGCAACATTACAACAAAGAAACAAAGATTAAAAGCTTTTTTTTTTTTTTGAATAAATATGATAAAATTATCCCAGATTCGTAATCAGATATATTTTTTTCTCATAGTAATAACAATACAAGCGATGAAGAGCTGTTATTACTTTACGACGTAAATAAATCTAATAACTTAACTTTGCCTTATCAAAGTTATCCGAGATGTAATTTAGACAATTGTCACATCAATCTTTGCATTATTTTGCTTTGATTGCATTTTAAAAATACTCTCAGACTGCTGAAATCTTCACAGACATCAGCAATAGCCACATCATAATCATACGCACACAAATATATGTATATATATATATATATATATATATATATATATATATATATATATATATATATATATATATATATATATATATGTGTATATATATATATATATATATATATATATATATATTCATGAACATATATTGTTTATAAATGCCTTTTTGTAATTTATTATTAATTTTTGTAATTTATTATATAAATATAATATTAAGTTAGTGATTCAGATTTAAAATAAAAACGATATAAATTTAAAAACCACATAAAAAAACACAAACTTTGTGACGTTTTCATAACTATTTCACGTCAAAAGACAACGCTGAAACTTTAATTTTCACGTCCGGCCTAGATTTTTAAAACGCGACTAGGGTTTTACCCTGAGCTCACGCATGCGCATTATCAACTTTTTGTTCTAGGAAGTTACGGTTGCAATTGGCGTTTTGATTTCGTTAACTTTTAATTAAAAAGCGTTTGACAAAATATTATTGCGTAACTACGCAACATGTTAAGCAAAAGAAAAATGTTTTGTCATATCTAATAATAAAAATCCATTTTTAAAGCATATTCAAAACTTTTATCTTTTCTTTTTAATATATTCAAACCTGATAAAGGCCGTTTTCCACAAGACGGAATATTCGCGCGAAGCGAATTTTTTCGCTATGACGAAACGCTGTTTTACTTTCTTTCGCGCTACTTTTTTTCGTTGTCAACAATAAAAATGGCAGCAATAAGTTTACGCTGTATGTTTAACTAAAAGCAGTTATTACTTTTTTAGCATACTTTCTACTTTGAAGCATATGAAAATTTTTTTCCATGCATTAATATTACCACTTCTGTCTTTATATGTAAGATGTGATATCATTATGTAATAAAATCATTTTATATAAGGTTTTTTCACAAGAAAGTATAAGAAAATAAATACTAAACTCTGACATAAACACTTCTATTTAAAAACTGTTACTGCAAGAACGAACATTTATCTTCTTCGTGACCACACGAAGATAAAAAGGTTTATCTTCGTGTGGTCACTTGAAGATAAACATTCTTATGAAGTGTAAGTTTTGTAATTGACAGTGTGAAAATTTATGCTTGTAAATTCTCGATTTAGTTTTATATATAAGTCTGGTCATTTTTTTATATAAGTCTTGTTCCTTGTTTGATAAATTTACTCATGCTTGCTAATTATAGCAAGTTCATATAAAACTAATAAGAACGCCAGGTTAAGAATTTTGTTTTTTGTTACTAAAAAACAACATGTTTTCGCTTTTTTTTACTGTTGACATCACGTGATCTAATATTTAAAACTTGATTGGTTTTTGCTTGTGGCGATTCGAAATGAATCCAAATTTATTTTTTGCTGCAGCAAAGAGTGTAATAATTGCCAAATAATTGCCAAAAATGTTTAATCTGCGCATGCTTATCGACGAAAAATTTTGCTTGGCGCGCATTTTTCGTCTTGTGGAAAACGGCCTTAAGTAAAAATTACATTTTTTTGTGACTGAATTTCTCATGCAGGGCCAGCGCGAGTAGGTGTCAAGTGTGTGTGTGTGTGTGTGTGTGGACGGGAAGGGGTGTCACACACCCGCGCACCCCCCTATCGCGCCAGCCTTGAACTCATGTAATGTATGTGAATACATAGCAATGCAAACAACGTTTGCATTACTATGTATTGCATTAGAATTTTGCATAGTAATGCAAACGTTGTTTGCATTACTATGTATGTTTTATTGGTATATATATTAGAGTAAGCTGTTGACTATTTTGTTTAATAGAAAACATGCGAAGAACTTTGCTTATTCAATTTAAGCTATTTATTTTATAGTTGCGGAGAACGTAGTGACTTTCTCAATCTCTTACCTAAACAGTTAATCTTTTTCTAGACAACCCAAACCCCTTGCATTTCTTTTTTACTCAAATTATTTTAAATATGTGCAATTCCCGCTCAAATCTTTACCCCAACACAAATCTTTCACACACAAACACAACTGTTCTTTTGCTTTTAAAACTGATTGCTATTGATAAAATTTTATCAATAGCAAGCAGTTTAAAAATTAAAAGAACAGTTGTGTTTGCGTGTGAAAGAGAGGGTTAGGGTAAAGATTTGAGTGGGAATTGCACAGATTCAAAATAACATTGTCAATGTTATTTGAAGATCAGGACTCTTGAGGATCTAGGTTTGTTTCTTTAAGCCTTAAAGAAACAAACCCACATCTTCTAGAGTGAGCCGTTGACCAATTTGTCAACTTGTAATTTTGTGTTGACTTTTTCAACCTTAATTTAAGGTGTTTTCAATAACAATGGATTATTCGGACAAGGTTTTTAACTGGTAAAGATTATAAAAGGAAGGTTCAATAGAGAGGTTTTCTGAAAAAGTATTGATGTAGTTATGTTGTTCAGGATAAAATTGTTTATAACTAAAAGAAAAATTTGTAAAAAAGATTCAGTAAAGTTTTAATATGGTTTGTTTGATAAGTAATCAGAAAGGAATTCCTTGGGGCTTAATGTCTTAAAAATACTAGTTTCTTTTCCATCTGAATATTTTAATTATGCTTATTGAGGGTTAGCTTTTTCAGTTATTTCTTTTTTATTATTACATATATGTCTTTATTTAGTAGTATTGGTCCGAAATGACTAAACCATAGGGGTGTAGTGCATCCATTAGCTATTTTATGGAGATGCCTAAACTTTTTTTTGTGAGGTTTCTGCATTGTTTTTAGTATTTATGAGAAATCTAGAGGATTGAAAACATCTAGTAATATGTTTTTTTTTCTAAGCTTTAATAGATAACTTGCATTGTATGATAGCAAGTTCAATAAGTTTCATTATAGTAACATCATATTTTTCAGCTTGCTCATTCCCCTAGAGTTTATATGTTGTAGTATGACTTGTTTCAATACCTTTCTCTTGTTGTTGTTTTATTTCTTTACTGATGAAAGCTGAACATCTATCAGTTAGGATAAAACTCGGCAAATCAAAAATTGAGAGTACTTATGAAAAACACTTAGTTACAGTGTAAATTAAAATATCAGGGTCGCAAATTGGAAACGAAAATATTTGTTTCTTATAAGTTAGAAAATACTTATTAGTTTCTTAAGGAAGTGGTTCATTAAAATCAAAGTTCAAAAATTTCATTGATTGTGTTGCCTTTTCAACAGTTTTCAAGTTTACTATTTATAACAGTAAGTTTTACTATTTATTATTTATGTTGCTTTTCAAAGATATAGAATACAGGTTGTTGATCAATAAATACCCTAAAATGGTCAGTAAGTAATAGCAATGTCAGATGCATTGGTTTTTAACTGCAAATAGAAGATTTTTATTAACATAATTAGTTACTGCGTTTTTAATGTAACTTTAAAGAGACTATAACTTTTTTAAAGAGTTTATTTTTTATAACTACTATCATGCTCATTTTGGATTTTAGAACATTTTGTCACATATAAATAAGTAAAAGTATATTTCATTTATAGTTCATTGAAAACAAAGCAACACTATTTTCAATTCCGAAAAGCATACATTAAAATTGGAATAATCTGCGATTTGCTTCAAAAGCTTTTTTTTCTGTTATATAAATTTGATATTAGGCAGATTTTAAATTGACATTACTTCATTTTTTTTTCGGAATGGTTTCTTTCATGTCCTGGAGCAAATCAATAAATATAAACTTGTAATTATTTTATAAAACAGTTTAAAAAATTTGTGACCTGCGCATTGAAGTCCCTATTTAAATGCTAAATTTTTTCCCACACAGTGACCATTAGAAATAAGACAATTTTTTTTCTTGAATGAACTGAGAATGAATTATCATAATAAACTGTTAAAACTAAATATTTATTTAGTTCTTAAGGAAGAAAGCAGGTTCAATAACATCCTCTTTGAACAAATGTTATACTTCTACTTCAGTAAATAACTGATCTTTGCTAGATCTACCAGGTTTTAAAACTACGAGTTTACAGCTAGATGATAAATTGCCAAATAGGCTATGTGGTTACATTTAATTTTGACAAACTGCAAATTAATAGTAGAGGTCTTTTTCTTGAAACTTAAGGGTTGTACCGTGTTGTTTTTTTTAAAAATAATGTCCATACAAAACTCATTTAAAATGCTCAGTATCACTTGTTTGTAATGTTAATTTTTTATTGAAATAATAAAAAAAATTGCTCCACAAATTGTGCTAAATAAAAAAGATAAAGTCATAGAGTTTCTAGTTGCTTCTATAAATAGTTAGGTTTAATTTTTGTATCAAGAATAAATAAAACTGACAGTACTGCCAATGCCACTTTCACACTTAATCACAAACAAATCAACTCCTTTTCAAGACAGACAGCTTTAGGATATCTTTGATTCCCACAGTTTCAGCATGTGGGCTTAATTGCTTTGAATTTTAGGTTGTAGCTATTGTTAAAAAATAAATAATTACTTTTTGTTTTTCTTTTTATAATGATTATAACAAATAATAATTTTATTTTAGCATTTCTAAAAAAAAGAATGACCAATCAGTTTTATTAATATCACTTGATGGATTTCGATTTGATTATCTTCAGAGAGGGGTTTCTCCCAATCTTCTTAAGTTTGGTAAGCTTTATTGAACATGTTTTTATGTTAAACAATTTTTTGCTGTAAAATTAAGATTGTTTATATTTAACTGTTTGAAAGCAAATTATTTTTATGTTTAGCAGCATGTAGGTTTTTATACCTGTTTATAGGTAGGGTGTAGGTACTGTGTATAGGTATACCCCCTAGAATTCTTTATGATGCAGTCCAATAGAAGGCATTAAGATCAGTTTATATAAAATAATTATAACATTATCTCTATGCTATGCTTATGGCATTATCTCTATGCTAGCCCAAATTACCTTAATATTTTATCATTGTGCTTTTTCTCCATGCTTTGCCATGGACACATGCCTATTGGCTGTTATTTCTCCTGTGGTTAAAGATAAGAATGGTGACATCTCGGATTCTGCTAATTATTGTCCAATTGCTCTGGTTACAATTTTCTCCAAGATTTTAGAACATATTTTTATCTTAGGCGTTAATGAAAGTTTCACTGGGAATCCCAATCAATTCGGATTCAAGAAAGACCATAGCACTTTTATGCCAGTTCTTATTTTAAAAGATACTTAAAATTTTTACCTGTCACATGGCTCAAATATGTATGTGGCATTTATTGATATCAGTAAGACCTTTGATAGAGTTTGATTAGACACACTATTTATGAAACTATCTAAAATTCTCTGGTGTAACTTTACGCTTACTCATTGTCTGGTATGCTGGTCAAACAGCTCAGATCCTATGGAGTGGAATATTATCCAAAACATTTAATATCAGTAATGGAGTGCGTCAAGGAGGGGTACTGTCTCCTCTTCTATTTAATATATATATATTAACAATCTTAGTGTTTTACTCAATAAAACTACCGTAGGCTGCTGCTTAATATTGAACAAGCCACCATGGAATAGTGCTAGTGAATTATTTGTGAAACATGGTGCCCATTCACTTAATGTAATGTAAATTGTTATTTGTAAGCAACAATACTCTTCATTGCCATTGTTGCAAAATAGTGAGAACCTTGTCATAAAAGCTTTTGTTAACTCTGAGAGGTTCTTGCAGTCTCCATTGTTGATTAAATGGAGAGCTGAGTTATATTTATAGAACTTTATTATTTTTTTTATTTTTCCCTGGGTTTTGTTTATATTCAAGTGCATTATTTTTTTATATCCACTTTATTTTACCCATTGTATATTTACTATATTGGGCCTCGAGCCTGTCAATAAATATGATTGACGGATTGATTATAACACAATTTAAATGATTTTGTTTTATAGCAAAAATTTATTATTTGTTTATGATTTATTACGCTATCTCTTTTATATGTAAGATTCAAAACCTCTTCTTTAAAAGTTATTATGACTTTAGGCCTTTATATCATTGTACCAGTGTTGAAACCAATATCATGTACTAGTGTTGAAAGTAATTTTTTAGGTCTTTTGATAAGATATAATCATATGGTTGTGTGGATTTTATCATAAACTTGAAGGAGTCAATCACAATGTAGATGTTAGTCTTTTCACCCCATAATATGTGGTTACCCTTTTCCTAAAACCATGTTGCAAATAAATAGAAGTTTATAATATCTTTAGTAATGCTCATACTTACTACATTTTTTGATATAAATTAGTTACTTTACTATTACAAAAGTTGTTTCTATTTGTTTTATTTTCTTTGCTGACATTTAGAACAGTTATAAAGTTTTTATTTGCTACAAACGATTATAGAGATTAAATTTAAATTTAAACTTTTTAAGAAGGAATTGTAATTAGTGTAAATAATTGCATCATATATGCGAACTGCATGCTCAATATCAACATGCAACTGCATGCTCAATGTTGCTGTACCAGATCACAGAAAAATCAAGAAGTTTGGTAATCTTATGTCAAAAAGAATCATGTTTTGTTAGTTGCGTGAATCCCGTTGCCATTAGCCCAAGACAGGTCCCTCAAGGACATGGAAAAAAGACCATAACATGCTACCATTGCGATGAGGACGGACATGTCAGTCGAAATTGCAACAAAGATATTGATATGAAGAGTTGCTTTGTTTGTGTAATGGATGCTCCAAACAATTTTAAGTCATGATATTATTAACATAAAAAATGCAAACACGCGAGAGAAAAGGTTGTTATGATGAATGGGAAGTAAAACACCAGATTGTTGTCGATCTTTCTATAAATGATACCACCGTCAGTTTGGAATGCCTGGTTGCCAACATTGTTCCTGAATATCAAATGCTATATGGTATGGCACAATACGACTGCTTGGAGGTGTCCAAGTCAGGAGAGACAGCGAAACCATAAACATCAATGTGGATCAACTAACTATTGGTGCTACTGCAGTCTCTCAAGAAAAAACAAATGAAGTATCCTTGTATAAAATTAAAACTTTTCCTGGTAAAGTCAGCAGAAAATAAAACCGATGTTCTTACGAGGGTACCACAGAACTGGCTGCATTCAAAGCATTCTGCAATGACAGCAAATGTTGTACTGCCTGATTGAAGTCAATCAAACCCTTTATTTGATGAAACAGACATATCCAAAGGTGAAAGTTTGTAGAAAAGACGTTGAATCAGTTGTGAAAAGTTGTGAAAGATGTTTATTGGTGGATCCTGTGCCAATTATATGGGAAGAAAGAAATCTTGAAGTTGGAAAGAGCTGGCACCGTTTAGCTAGTGACATAACCCACTATAAATCAGAGATTTGTTTGTCTATTATTGATTGTGGCAAAAGGAGTAAGTTTGCAATTTGGAGAAAGCTATAGAATGAGAAAGAAACAAGAGTGTGCTTCCATTTAGAAGAAATATTCCAAGAGGACATCCGTGGCAAGTTCTACTTGACAACAGCAAGACTTTTTGCTCAAAACTGGTTGGTGAATTATGCGCAGAATGGGGAGTGTCCATGCTGTTTTGTTGCGTTTACAAGCCATCTGGAAATGGAATTGTTGAGCATCATCATTGCACAATCAAGAGTATGACAGCCAGAAGTGGCAAAGATCCATTAAAAATGGTATATTGTTATAATGTGGCTCCCAGAAAAAATGGTAAAACATTGCTTCTCTACAAAGTTATATTTTTCTATGAGTGGAAACCACACACAGTTTCTGCCAAAACTAACGAGGAAGTTCTCCACAACTATACACAAGGAAAAGAAGTATTTGTAAAATCACCTAACTCAAAATGTACGAGAGAATGGAACAAAGGAAGAGTCTCAGATATAGGACGAGGAGTTTTGGTAGAAATCAATGGATTGCCGAGACACATGTTGGATGTCCATCCTACTCCCATTGTAGCTAACTTGTCTACTGGAGAATCAGAAGAACCCATCACGGATAACCTGAATCTTTGAAGATAGACGCGAGTGCGGAAGTTTTTGAATAAGTATGCGGACTTTGTGATCTAGAGATCAAGGGGTGTTGTAATTAGTGTAAATAATTGCATTATAAACTATTATTGTGTTGCATCAGAAGGAACGTTGCAGGTGTGTCATATATTATAATGTATATAACGTTTATGTTTATTAAACCCTTGGGAGTATTTGCAAATGTATATATATTCAGTAAAAATATTCACAAAGCGAGTGAGAAAAACAAATATAGACTTATTATTACACAAATTACGTGTGATAATTACATGATATCAATAATTTCTGACCCCAAGATCTCAGGAATACCACATGGTTAGCATGGATCTTGATAATGACAAACTAGCTGACCCAAGAACGCCACTTATATGGGGATAGCATACACAAGTTACCCTGTGATGCAAGTTCTGAAATCTTCTAATTTTGTCTGCAAACAATAATTTAATTTGAATGTCCAAATTAAGTGAAGTTTTGACTTTATAGTACAACAATAAAAACACCTGTAGAATGAGGACCACTACATATAATTTGATAAAAATTGGTGTAAATGTAGCAAATGGCCCCACTAAACTCTGGGTAATATTTCAGTTGGGTTGGTTTACTGGTTAAGGCTTTATGGCAGTTTTAGATTATATTTTGTTAGTTTTTTGCTATGTAGACCTCAAAATGTTACAGATTACTGTGATATTCATCCACTATTTTCAAAATAAAGGTTACACGAGTGTTCTACTATGTAATATCAACAATTTTTATTATAATTGTTTTATTGCTACATGTACCATTTTCTGTTGCCTAATAATAATAAATCAAATTATGGTAGCAGTTCTTTTAAGATGCTTAAAAGAACTGCAATTTTTCTTTGTACTCTGGATAATTATTGTTTTGTTTATATCTTGACCAATGTTTATAAAGTCTTGATAAGCAATTTCAACAATTTTATCAGTATAGGGCTCTAGGGGGGAATCTTTGCGACTGTTTTTTTGATGAGGTAGAAGACGGTGTGAATTTTGTGTGTTACACTTGCACCAGTTATCATTAAGTAACACTTTTTAAAATTTTCAATTATTTCAGCAAAACTGGCTGAAGGATAAATCTAAAGAAAGCTTTTACAATTAAATTGAAACTTTTGAATGCTTCAATTATGTGAAGAATGTTGGGAACCAATTTGTATCAGCAAACTAACTATAAAAAGGGAAAACTCAAACTAATTATGTAAACTAAATTGTTAAAAAAACTTTGTAATGAGAACATATATTTATTATTGAAACCAGATATTTTTATAACAAAAAAAAAAAACTATGCAAATTTATTGCATATATATCTTTATGTTGTTTTTCTTTTAGCAAAAAGTGGTGTGCAAGCTGAATTTTTACAATCTCAATTTCCTACTAAAACATTTCCAAATCATTATACTATTGTTACTGTAAGTTTTACTCTTTTTAAGTCTCCTTTGATTTATATCGTTTTGAAATTATAAATAATGAATAATTTTATAATTAAAAACAAATAAATAATCTATAATTTAGAATCATAGTTTAAAAATAGTTTTTAAATTGTAGGTAATATTACATACATGATTCATGATTAGCATCTTTGATAGCATCTGTCTATTATTCATCTTGTGCAAAGAGGGGTATAAAAAAATTTAAAAAAGGAGACCTTTTTTTTTGTCTTAATTTTTATTTGACAAAATTTAAGTGGCTAGATGTCCTTTATTGAATATAACTGTTCCACATTTAGATTTCTTGTCCCAACTAAAAACTCTGACTCCCCAAAAATGTCCAGATAATATAATGTATTTGTTTTGACATTACATGTAAATAATATAAGCATAAAAATATATTAATGTTTTATATTAAGAACATTTTATGTGGTAATAAACACCTTTAATAATGATACTGTTCTAGCAAACTATTCTCATCTGTTTTTATATGTAATAATTACACTGGTTGTATGATGTAAATCTTTGTAAGCCAGTGATAGGGAATCTTTGTAACCAGGGTCGGACTGAAGGTCAAAATCGGTTCTGGAATTTTACATTTGTCCAGCCCACATCAAAGAAAAAGAAAGTATAGGATCAGGTTAAAATTGATAAAGCCTGAAAAAATAATTTTCAGCTCCTCCCTTTTTATTTTCTTGTTTTCACTCATTTTGAAATTTTTGACCGACCTGATTTAGGTCGGCCCACCAGCCCAAATTCATGCTATCCCACCAGGAATTCTCCAGGTGCTCCCTGGGGCCCGTCCACCACTGTTTGTAAGCCAGTGATAAGGAATCTTTCTCAAAAATAAAGTTTTTGTGATATCAAACTCGTGTGTTTTGTTATTAGTAAGATGTTTTAGGTACTGTTTTTTAAACTTTTTTATGTTGACTTTTTATGACAAAATAAATTATTCTCCTTTTTTATTTAATATTTAAATAATAGAATAATAGCAAAATAAGATATGTTTTTATAGTTTTAATTATTTCTTGTTAAAGTATATATATATATATATATGTGTGTGTGTGTATATATATATATATATATATATATATATATATATATATATATATATATATATATATATATATAGTATATATATATATATATATATATATATATATATATATATATATATATATATATATATATATATGTATATATATATATATATATATATATATATATATATATATATATATATATATATATATATATATATATATATATATATATATATATATATATATATATATAGATAGATAGATAGATAGATAGATATAATATTTTACATTTTCCATATTTTTTATAATGCTATAGTAACATATAACTAAACTACTAACATGATTATTTTGTTGTTATTTATAAACATGAAACATCTGTAGCCTGTATAAAATTGATGTAATGTTTAAAAAAAAGTAAAGTAAGTTTATATTATGCATCATAACTTCTACAGACAAGAAAATTATCACTAAATAGCCCACTCAAATTAGACTGCATTTCAGAGTACACACATACAAATGCTTTTTTTAAATAAATGGTTTTTTTCTTTCATATATATATATATATATATATATATATATATATATATATATATATATATATATATATATATATATATATATATATATATATATATATATATATATATATATATATAATATTTTTAGCAATAAGAGCAACTATAAAAGGCCTCTAAAGCTTTATACCATATTTATATATACCATATTTCATTGTTCCAAATTTAAAAAAATGTTTTTCACTAAATCTTTAGGTAGCCATGTCGTTCTTTTCTTCTTAATTTACTTTTAATTTTTCTTGGAGAATTGAGAGAGTGAACAATAGAACTGATTTTATTTTTGCAAAAAACTTTTTTAGCTCCTGAATTGAATCCAAAGTTATTTAAAAAAAATTTTGCAACAGCTTTATGTTTTAAAATAAAGTTCTCAACTTGTCAATATTTTAGTTTTAAAACATTGGCTGGTGATCTACTTAATGATTCTAGATTTTTTGGTGATACATTTTTATGTCTTTAAAAAAGTTTTTTTAAAGACATAAAAATAAACTTTTATTATTTAGCATAAACATAAGCAAATTGTTTTTTTTTTAAGTATATTAAGAAAAAACCTAAAATAAAAAAAGTTAAAAAAAGAATTAGTTTGTTAACAAGTTGTTGAACTTATATGACTGTTCTCTCTGAACAAGCATTCACAACATCAAGGTTTATGATGGATGTTTTTATATTCTTGACAGAAATTAATAAAAACCAAATAGTCTGGAGGAAGCTTCATCCATTTAAACTTTGTTTTTTTATGACCAAACATGTCAAACACAAGCCAAAACTTCTCTTCAATTAGTGGAACTAAGCTGAGAGGCTCATTCTGTGAAAAGTTTCATAAATGTTGGATAAAGATATCATAGTGTCTTTATCCAACATCTGTCTTTCTAAGGTATACTTCTCAATTGAAACTTGTTTTAAACAAAATAGTCACTTGTTACTATGTTCCATGTTGCTATGTTTTTTACATTTCACAATGTCACTATCCATGTTGCTATGTTCTTTACATTTCACAATG